TAGAGGATCCTGCTGTGATTTATGTCGGAGAGTGTTTTGCCTATGTTCTCCTTTAGGAGTTTTATAGTTTCTGGTCTTACATTTAGATCTTTAATCCATTTTGAGTTTATTTTTGTGTATGGTGTTAAAAAGTGTTCTAGTTTCATTCTTTTACAAGTGGTTAAAAATATGGAACGCTTCATGAATTTGCGTGTCATCCTTGCGCAGGGGCCATGCTAATCTTTTCTGTATCGTTCCAATTTTAGTATATGTGCTGCCAAAGCGAGCACTGTTTATTGACTTTTTTAAATTCTTGAACTCTGAAGAATTTTGAATACTTTGAACTAGCGCAAATAGCAAGGACGGTGCAGTTAGAGCTATATATAGCCTGGGTTCACTGTGTAATCCCAAGCAAGTGGAGGTAAACTGCTGTCAGGTTCCAGCTCCTTTGTCTGTGAAAGGGACTGAGTGAACTGTTTGAAAAATTAAATCGGCTGGGTCACCTGAAAAACACCTGTCACATAGGAGGCTCGTAGTAGTAAATCGTCCCTTTCTAAAGGCCTTTCCTTCGTCTTAGACAACCTAAAGAAGCTTCCTCCTAACCCATAACCGCTGATCCACTCCTCGGTTTCCTGCCCTGATTGCCTTGTTCCTTTCCCACAGAGGCAGGTCCGAGACCGCGGGGTGACCCGATCCAAGGCGGAAAAGGTGCGGCCACCTACGGTTCCGGTGCCGCAGGTGGACATCGTGCCTGGGCGGCTCACTGAGGCCGAATGGATAGCGTTCACGGCTCTCGAAGAGGGCGAGGACGTGGTGGGCGATATCTTGGCCGATCTGGTGGCCCGAGTCATGGAGTCCGCCTTTAAAGTCTATCTGACCCAGCAGGTAGGCCTGGATCCTTGTCCTTCAGACATATCTCCGCTCTCCCTGACCCCTCCCTGCTGGACTGAGACCCTTTCTCGCCTCCACAGTGCATTCCATTCACCATCAGTCAGGCACGGGAGGCCATGCTGCAGATCACCGAGTGGCGCTTTTTGGCTCGGGACGAGGGAGAATCTGCAGAGGACCCCACATGGGGCGAGGATGAGGAGCCCTTGGCTTGCACGACGGATGCCTGGGCTCAGGGATCCGTGCCGGTGCTGCACGCCCGGGCCTCGGTGGGGCTGGAGGAGACGTTTCAAGGCGAAGTAAGCTCAACCTCCAGCTGCCGCCCACCTCTCACCGCTGCCCCGGACCCATTACTCGCCCCTGACCTCCACCCCTGTGCATTTCCCCAGGACCAAGAGAGCATGGACCAGATCCCTTTAGAAGGATCGTGGACGGATTCAGGCTCTCAGGAGCGGATGGAATCTTGGGAGCTCACAGTCACCCCGGGCTCTCGACCCCCGCCCGAGTTGCTTCAGGAGACAGGGCCCCAGGGTCCTTTAGAGAAACTGGGTGACCAGTCGAGGGACGACCAGACTGACCTGTTTGCAGCCGGATCCTGGAACTCCAGCAGCCAACTGTCGATGGAGATGGCGCCGGCAGGCAGTACCCACGCTTCTCTGGAGCTGTCCTTGGTAGCCAGCCCTGAGGCCTCTGTCGAGCGAGCACAGCCCATCAGCTCTCAGTTCTCCCTCGAGAACCTCTACGAGTGCACGCCCCAGCCGCACGCGGCTGGAGACGGGCCGGAGCTCAGAGAGGAGAAGGTGCCCCTCATCTCCTCGCGGGTGTTGGTGTCCGATCCCTCCGCGGGCGGCGCCACCACGCTCAGCCCCTCGGCCGGATTCCAGCCACAGCCGCCTTGGCTGGCTGACGAGCGGCCCAGCGCACTTCACTCCAGAATCGGCCGTAAGAGGGCGACGGCGCGTCTGGACCCCGCGCGGCTGCCGCGCCCCTGGGTGCGCCCGCTGTCGAAGGTCCTGGTCCCAGACTCGGAGGGCCGTCCGCTGGAGGCCTACAGGGGGCGCCAGCAGGGCGAGAAGACCGAGGCCCCAGGCGGACCGCAAGCCTACGTCTCCCGGTCAGAGTTCTTCCCTTTCCCACCGGGCGTTCCTGTCCGAGCTTTGAGCTCCGGTCTCAGCCTCCAGTTCCCTACTCTAAGCTTAGGCCTACCGTCGCCAGGCTTTGGTTCAAAGCTTCCCTTCCCCAGTCCCGGGCTCCGTTTTCTCGCCACACACCGGGCGCGCCCGGACTTGGCACGCAGCCCCAGCCCCAAACTGTGGCCGGGTGCTAAGTGGCCCAGCGGCTGGGAGGGGGAGGCTGAACTGTTGGGTGAGCTCTGGGCCGGCCGCACCCGTGTACCTCCGCAGGGCCTGGACCCTGGGGACCGGGAGAGCCAGGATCCTCATCAGTGCCTTCATCCCGTGCCCCAAGTTCTGGAGGCCACGTCCCAGGTGACGTGGAAACCTGTGTTGCTGCCGGGAGCACTGAAGCTGGCTCCCGGTGTGAGCATATGGAACCCAAGTACGCAGGTGCTGCTCAGCTCCGCTGAGCCTCAACGGGACGGCAGAGAAGGCAGCGCCTCTCCTCCCATCCATACAGGTGCCCCGAAGCCCCAGGTGACTGTGGCCCAGCTGATGAACTCAGCCGTCAAATTGTGGTCACTCCCCTCCAAGCGCCTGCCCCATTCTAAGCCCTAGGCAGTGGGAATTCTACCTTCCTTCTGTCTGCTTGCCAGAAATAAACAGCTGAGTTGCCTTAAGAATTGGCCTGATGTCTATCAGTTCCTTCCAAGTGTGTGCTCTCACTGAACTGGAGAGGTCTATAGGAACACAGAACATAATTAGGTTACACCCTTAGGAGACCCTGCTTTAGGGTCAAGGTGGCTCTCCAGCAGAGGCATTCTGGAGAACCATCCCCATTTCCACAAAGGAGCACACAAGGGTTGCAAGAGGGATCTGCCTCAGTTGGGAGAACTTAAAATCTCCTTCCAGTAGGGGAAGAAGGGGATGGCTCTATTTAAGCACAGAGTGATTCAAGACATGGGGAATTTGATTTTCAGTCTGGAGCTCTATCAATTCACCTTAGAGTGCAATTCCAAGTTTCCTTTGGAGACAAATTTGAGACTATGCAGGATTAAGGGAAACTCTGACTCTTGATCTTTGACTTGGACCAGCATTGGAATGAGGCAATCAGATAGCTAGTGAAAATGATTTAAGGAGGAACTCACTCTCAGGTTCAAATGGGATACTCTAACACATCCAAGAGTGAGTGCCTCCTTAAATTTTGTGCTTTATGCTCCACACCAACTTGCTGGCTGGTCCTACTCAGCTTTGACCAGTCACTGCCCCGCTCCTGTGGGCAGCACTTCCCGGTGGCAGGCCAGTCTTCTCTGCCATGTCGCTGTGGTCTGTACTCAGCAGCCCAGTGTGGGGTGCTGGCTCTGTCCTCCTCATTCTGGTCCTCCTGCTTAGACTAAGTGTGCAGATCTGGCATAAGTTTTATATCTGGGACCTCCAGCACTGCTCCACGGATTTGACTGGGAAGACAGCAGTGGTGACTGGGGCCAACAGTGGTGAGTGTTCCTCCTGGCCTGCCACAACCACCGCCTCCAACTGCCCCATCAGGGAGGGCAGAGAGCAGGACCAGCTCCTACTGTCAGAACCCTTGTTTCCCGCCCTACTTGCTCCATTGGCCTCTAGTCACTCCCCAGACTAGTATAATCTGAAGCTGCCCTCCCACAGGCATTGGGAAGGCTGTGTCCCAGGAGCTGGCCCGCCGCGGGGCCCGTGTGATCCTGGCCTGCCGTAGCCGAGAGCGTGGACAGCAAGCCCTGGCCGAGATACAAGCAGCATCTAAGAGCAGCCGTCTCCTACTTGGTGAGGTGGACTTGAGCTCTATGGCCTCCATCCGGTGCTTTGCTCAGCGCCTGCTGCAGGAGTGTCCTGAGATTCATCTGTTGGTTAACAATGCTGCAGTCTGTGGTATGTACCTTGACTTGCTTCCCCTAAACACATTTCCAGAGTTTCATTTCTCAGGGACCTCAAAACAGGCATCTTTCAAGCCTAACCTGTACATTCCATGGAAAGTTTCTAGTTCAGACACTATCCTGAAAAACCTAAATTATAGTCTCAAACATCATTGCCCCATCTCAACACATCCGTGCTCCTGTGGTGTTCCTGTGCTGGGTTTAGTCACTCAGTCGTGTCCGACTCTTCATGACCCCACGGACTGTAGCCCACCAGGCTCGTCTGCCCGTGGAACTCTGTAGGCAAGAATACTGGAGTGGTTACCATGCCCTCCTCCAGGGGATCTTCCCAAACAAGGGATCCAACCCAGGTCCCCCGCCTTGCAGGTGGATTCTTTACTGTCTGAGCCACCAGGGCATTTCTATTGAACCCAATATATCCTCCCCAGACTCTGTCTCCCTCAGGATTCTCACTCCATCACCCACCACCTATGTTTTCATCTCTCTCAGGATTCCCTGCAACACTTACCCCAGAGGGCCTTGATCTCACCTTTGCTACCAACTACACTGGGCCCTTTCTGCTCACAAATCTGCTCCAAGGTAAGGAAGGATGGGTACTTACCTTCTGTGTGACCCCTGCTTTTCCATTCCTCTAGCATTTTCATGGCTTACTGTCTATCATGGTCATCTCCTTTCCCTTGGCACCCAGATGCATGCTGAGTAATGACCCAATACATTTTTACTTCTCATAACGGAATCAGTTAGCCCCCAGATATCAATACAACCAGCAAGAGGATATAAGATCTACACCACACTTCTCTTTCCCTCAGGTCTGAGTTCTAGCCAGACCAGTAGAGTCAGTCATCTCAGGTCTGAGTTCTAGCCAGACTGGTAGAGTCAGTCATCTCAACAAAAGCTTCTTGAAGGTGGCATCAGGCTACTAGGTTTAAGGAGGCTGTGTTCTCCTAGGGAAGGGAGGAGTTAAGCAGCAGGCACATTCTCCCTAACATTTTCTCTGGATTGTCTAATAGCCTCTTTATAATTTTATTTATTTATTTTTGGCTGTGCTGGGTCTTCCTTGCTGCATGGGCTTTCTCTAGCTGCCCTGCACAGGCTTCTCATTGCAGTGGCCTCTCTTTTCGTGGGGCACAGGCTCTAGGGTGCGTGGGCTTCAGTAGTTCTGGTATGCGGGCTCAGTAGTTACAGCTCAACTGTGCTGGGGCTCAGCGGTCGTGGTGCATGGGCCCAGCTGCTCTGTGGCATGTGGGATCCTCCTGGATCAGGGATTGAACTCGTGTCTCCTGTACTGGCAGGCAGATTCTTTACCACTGAGCCATCTAGGAAGCCCTCTAACAGCCTCTTTAAAAGAAAATTAATTTTTTGGTCAGGTAATGAATATATGTCCAAAGTACAAAAGGGTATATGGAAAAAGAAAGAAAAGAAAAACTCTCCTCCTCTCCTGGAAAATCAGCTGCCCATTCCCTTCCTGGGGGGCAACTCCTATTGACAGGTCTCATGTACCCTTTAGTGGGCAATTAAATTAGTCCTGACTGGAAAGTGAACAAAGAGCAAGGCCAAGCTCTATGGGTTTGTAATGTATTAATATATGTTTTTCCCCTTTCCAAAAATTGTAACATGCTATAATACCCTGTGTCTTGCTTAGTAATAATTTCTTGAACTGTCTTCTTGTTACTGAAAAGTGTGTGTGGGGGGGTCTTGCTGCTCGCCATTCAAAAGCCAGTAAACAGGCCAGGTTGATGGAAAGGAAAGTTTGCTTTATTTCAGATTCTGGAGACTAGTGGTAGGGAGGATGGTGGACATCTGTTCAAAGGCTAACTCCGCCACCTGACAAGAAGGGGGTGAGAGCTTTGATAGAGTGTATGTAGTGGGGAGATTACATGTGGAAGCAGCACATTTATCTCTAACAGTCATCTTCAACTGGTCATCAGTAGTCTGACTAACATCATCTTGATTGTTTTAGGTAGAGTTAATCTTCAGTTCCAGGGTCTGTTTGTTCCCATTTCTTTGTGGTCAGTTTTCAGAATTGTGGCAGCTTATGTCCTGGGTAGAGTCTAGTCACCATGTAGTTAACTTTTCCACCTGATATTTTGGTATCTATAAGACAGCTCACAGGATATGGCTCAAAATATTATCTATAACCCTTGAGAAAGAACTAAAGGTCCTTGACTATGCTTAATAACTAAATTACTATTATTTAGTCTCTTTAGACTGTTTTACTTTGTTTCAGTGTTTTTCACTTTTCTGATTAAACTTATTCTTTGATTAAAGTTTTCTATAGACAAAAGGCAGGCAGAGGACATGGGGCATGGAGGAGGGGCAAGGACCTTATGGTTCTGGTCTGTTTCATTCTCTCCTATCTCCTCTGTCTAATATATTCTCCCTTCTGTGTCTTCTAAGAAATCACCTTTCATTATATCACTTTCTTGGTTCAAATTCTTGGAAGGTATTCTGACCTTTATAAAGTAACTAAGCTGTGTCAGTTCAGTTCAGTTCAATTCAGTCGCTCAGTCGTGTCCAACTCTGCGACCCCATGAATCACAGCATTCCAGGCCTCCCTGTCCATCATCAACTCCCAGAGTTTACTCAAATTCATGTCCATCGAGTCGGTGATGCCATCCAGCCATCTCATCCTCTGTCATCCCCTTCTCCTCCTGCCCCCAATCCCTCCCAGCATCAGGGTCTTTTCCAATGAGTCAACTGTTCGCATCAGGTGGCCAAAGTATTGAACTAAGCTGTTTATCTCCACTTAAAAAACCTCCTGCAGACAGAGCCTCGCCTTGGCCTTTCCCAAACCCACACCCTCATCTTTAGTTAAATTTTTTTCTCTCTTAGGCCACACTCTGTCTTCTAAATCCTGGCTGTAATTTGCACATGTGTTTCCCTCTATTTGGAATATCCTTTCCCATCCTTTTAGCCTGGCTAACTTAATTCAGCTTCCAGCACTCAGTGCAGATACCACTCATGCTGTGGATCCTGTCCTGACACCTCTGCCTCCCACGAGGTGTCCCCATTTACCACATAGCTCAGTTGATAAAGAATTTGCCTACAGTGCAGGAGACCTGGGTTTAATTCCTGGGTTGGGAAGATCCCCTGGAGAAGGGAATGGCAACCCACTCCAGGATTCTTGCCTGGAGAATCCCATGGACAGAGAAGCCTGGCAGGCAGTCCATGCGGTCGCGGAGTCGGACACGACTTAGCGACTAAACCAATACCACCACCTGAGCCGCTGTAAATAGCTCTGTTCCTGTGCAGGTGCTGTTGCATGAAGATCACTGTCCAACTAGGTTGTGAGTCCCTTTGGTCTTTACATCACTATGTTTGCAAGTCTGGAGTTCAACTGTGCTCTTTAAGAATAATTTTCTCTTTGGCAAATTATGGCTGAATACCTCCACTCAATTTTTCATTTGTGTTTCTTCATTTAAATGGAGGGCTCAAAATAGTTTTAGTATTTTGAAACAATAAGTAAACTCATATGTGATAACTATAATTTTTTATACTTTATATAATTCAGACTTTTTTTTTGTATAGTTAGGAAACTCTTTTTTTCCCCCCCAGAGATTTGCTTACACCTCTTCTATTGATAGTAATTTTACTTTCATTCTTTTGGAAGATAAATTCCAAAATTTTTTTTAATTAAAAAAATTTTTAATAAAACTCTTTCCCAAGCATCTCTGCACATATTTCTTTTCCCCTAAACCTAGCACCCATATGTCTTTAGTACCTAGCATGATGTCTGCCATAATTCAAGGGCGCAGTGAATATTTGTGGGATGAATA